TGGAAAGTGACCTGAGATGACATGATGTGAATTGGAGCTATAGAAATAAACTGAATAGAATTTGAATGAAACTTAAACAGAAGCTGTTTGCAGATATTTCTAGATATGTTTGTAATCTTTTTGTCGAGCTATATTGCTTCACTCATCCCTAGAGACGCCTTACATGACTATGCAGGTTAACTTGGCTGATTTCTCTAAATGTTTTAGGGACGCACGGAGCGCTGTTTGCTGCATCTGGACATAATCTATGAAAAAGCCCCAATAAGGGAGTAGAAAAGCATTTACATTATTTTTTGTCTGTTTTTAGACAAAGAATCAAGGAAGTGGTTTAAAACATTCATACGGGTCTTTGTCTTCTGGAATTTAATGTTTACTTTTCTTAACACCAGCAATTTCCAGACGTTGCTTTAGGAGCCAAACCTCACTGAGCTAGAAACAGTTTGTTAGACAATAATAGTCAGTAGACCTTCTTTCATGATGATTCTTATTATGATCACAGCCACAAAAACAGCTGCAGTGCTGAAGATACCTGCATGCAAATGCGGAGTCTCAGCTGGCAGATGTTGCATTGAGCTGGTAGGATGACGGACACGGACTCATAGTTCCTGCTGGTTCCGTGGTCTTCATCAGGACTGGTCCCAGGTCTAAACTCACAGATAAACTTCAGGTTGTTCTCAGAGCTGCTTTGAGTCCTCATTTCAGTTTGGGGCTCCACTGATTGTGGTGGAGGAACTGTTCGGTTCAGGTAGACTGCAGCGGCCATTCCTGTCTGAGAAAACCTTCAAGTTAATGACAAGAAATGATAAAGTTAGAGGAAAGCATAGCATTTATCGGATCCCAGCAGCGGCTGGTGCTGAGTCCAGGAAAGGCTCTACCTGTCTGATTGTGTAAGACTGCTCTCACCTGTTTATGGCTGCTTCGGGACTTCCTCATTCTTTGGCTTAGAGGTAGATGCTGACAAATCATTTACTGACATCAAAACACACTTTACTTCCTCGTTCTCTAAGCAATGGAATCCTAATGACAGTAAAGACAGCGAGGTTCCGCTGCTATCGATGCAGAACAGGCAGATTACTGGTCCACCGGCCGAAAGGGGAAATCAAAGCTTCTGCATTTCAGATTTAAATAAAGCTGGTGTAAAAAAAGGAGCAGAACTTTACTGGGACGAAAAATAAACAGTTTAAACGGTTTGGCTTAGTGATGTCATGTTGGGTTGTGATTCTAGCCCAAATGCAGAACACACTCTGAGACAGGGGAAAAAGTTCAAAGGTTTATTGTAAACATACAGGTTTGAACACTGAACAGGTTCTGGGGTAATCTGGTTCAGGACTGGTCACGACAGATTTTCACTGCAGAGGGGGACAGAATGGTTAGCAGAAGTCCTGGTAATCTTGCTGGTTGAGTGAGCGCAGGTTTGTACCTGTTCTGAGGTTAGAGCAGAGCGACAGAGGGGAAAACCTGGAGGGTCCAGAGGCTGACGGCAGGCTGAGGGCTGACAGGTTTGGTTCTCCAGGATTCTTCCGCGATCAGACAGACTGTTTTCAGACAGGGGAACTCTTCCAGAGTTTCTGATTTCAGACAGGTTATTCCTGGAAGCAGAGAGGACAAACAGGTTCAGGTTAGGATAATCAGGGAGTCTAGATTCAGCCAGGCAGGTTGGCTCAGGCTTGCTAACCATAACTGGCAAAACACTCTGGCACTGGAGTGTTGTCCACAGCCCAGTACTGGTCCCCTGATGAGCAGATGAGAAGCAGCTGGTGAAGTCAGCTCCAGCTTCAGGAGATCCAGTACGCCCTCTGGTGGAGGAAGGTAGACAGCACCCCAGATCCCAACAGAAGTACAAACCATCGGGAAGGGATCCTCTTTGGCGCCCTCTGGTGGGCAAGCCTCTGGATCCCAACAAGTGAAGGTGTTATGGAACTTACAGCTGTGCCAGTTTTCTGTTTTTATTGAGCGATACGGTGGCTCATATTTAGTGGTGTCCAGTGAGACATAGAAGAACATAAAAAGTCATGTTTACTCCGTACATCCTTCATACATCATATTCAGCCTTTATGAGCAAGAATTAAGCCTTATTGAATATATTGATTCCAGGTTTAGTCTGTCCACAGAGTAAATTCATTCTCACCAGGTTAATATCTGACTTAGAATGCTGTAGTTCTTCAAAATGTGCGATACAAATAGTGCCGAACACATGCTTACCTGTCTGATTTGTGACCTGCCTTTGAAGGACTACAAGCTACCTGATTATTTCAGATAAGCGCATCATAAAGACACTGAGACAAAGTTAAGGAAATATATTAATCATCACCCCATGGTGCAGACTAATGAAGCTTAACGTTACTTTAACTTCAGCACAGCAGGTATGGTAAAGACATGCCATTCACCATAATGAAAATCAAGTAAACAGAAAGCAGCCTGCAGGACATTTTACATACTGAGGTCAAGGGTCACTTAAAGAAATTGGTGCACATGTTACTGTGATGGACTGGTGATAGAAAAAAGCCCACCCTCCCCCCTGATGGATGGATGGATTAAGGAT